TAAAAAGAAGTTGTACGTGACTATCTGGTGGCACATTGCATTAGAGAACTTTAATATGACACAGCCTTGATTTTTTGTATTAGCGATCTCAAATCGTATTTGTTATGTTCTAAAAGGGCTGTATTCCATCATACAAATTGTGATTGGTCTAAATTGTCGATAAGAGATTCCTACCTTTAAATTTCTTTTCTCTTATCTGTAAAAGGCAAAGACTTTGCCCACTTATTCATCAATAATTCTCCCACTTTCCATAATGTTATGAAGTTGGAACACGTGTTCTTGATAAGATAAATAAAAAAAATTAAAAGTTTCATTTCAATAATTTGTAATTATCAGGGTAATTGGGAGAGATAATTATCCTAATTGATTGAAAAGCTTAATAACATGTTTACATTAAGATTAAAAATCTCAAACTTGAACCATGTGTTCTTATCAAATATGAAGAAAAACTAAGAAAAACTAAATAACAGGTTTTTAGCAAGATAGAAGGCTCAAAGTTGGACCATATATTTATAAGATAAACAGGAGAACTTAATATTAAATATATTGTAGTTAATGGTGTAATCAGGCGTAATTACCCCAATTGTAAGATATGTAAAAAAAATTTGGATCACGTGTTCCTTGCCAGATGTAAAGAAAAAACTAAAAGAATCTCATTTCGAAATTTTGTAGTTATCGGGGAAATTAGGGTGAAATTACCCCAATTGAAATTTATTCTAATTAAAAGTTTGCCACTACGATAGAAGCTTTAATTTTGACCAAGTGTTTCTTATAACGGGAGAGACACTAAAAATGTTTCATTTCCATATTTTTGTGATATTTCGTATTTATGAGTTTGTGTATTCGGACCAACCTTCCGCCAATTTACCCCTTTCCACTAAAATGCTAGGAGCAACCTTCCGCCATTTTACCCTAATCCACTACAATGCTAGGAGCAACCTTCCGCCAATTTACCCTATTCCACTAAAATGCTAGGACCAACCTTCCGCCAATTTACCCTATTCCACTAAAATGCTAACGTCGAGGAGTTGAAGCAATGCTGCCTAACACAATGTACCAATCTAGAGTCACGAAGCGTTGACTGTACAATGTAGTTGTGGAATCGCGAAGCGGTCAGTCCGTTTTGGCCATATTATATCCGGATAGTTCTATTGTAAAAAGAAACGTGGTAATCCCAACTGTTCTGGGTCCTGGTAGTACGAGACGTATAACTTAATTAGTGAAACATCTTGTCTTCATCAATTAACTTATTATTTACAGCATGAGCAAAAAGCGCTTTTATTCAAGATCTACGAAGATTTGGGAGGAATTTCGGTTTCCTCTGAATTTCGGGGATGATGCTATTGCAGTTCTGAATGCGTTTTTATTTCATTTTATTACCGGCGTTGAACAGCTGTTCCATATCGGATTTGCGGTTCCCAAGGTTTTCAGCAGCTTCGTTATTTTAAACTTAACCATTCATAAACTCCCGGATCAAACATTAGGGAAACTAAGTTCAGCTGAAGACGTTTTGATAGAATTAACACGCATTTAATCGGACGCATCAAAGCTTACGAATCGTGAGGAAGAAATTAGAGAGATGAAACAAATTTTAAATAACCTTGAACAAGAGTAGTATAAGTAACGTTAGTAAGCATGCTTGTTCGTCGCCAATGAAGACAAACATTAGCTCAAATTGGCAACCAGCTGAATCAGAGCAGGGCCGCCTCAATAGGAGTTATCAGTTATCACGGCACTTGTATCGTGACGATTCACAGTTACGCTTCTTTCACTTTCTGTTTTGATTTTAATAGTTTAAATGTTGTTCTAAAGAGATAGCTTCATTCATTAAATGTCAAGCTCTGATAGAAAAGAAATCTTCATTTCAACGAAAACATAATTGCTGAATTTCCTTAGTAATATTTTAAAAGAATATTTATTTAGTTATTTTTAAGAGAAATTCAGAAAATAACTTTTTCATCTATCGGCATATTTATATAGGAAGCGTAAGCAGAGTAAATTAAATATTATAACAATTAAATATTTCAACCATAAAAAATCAGATTTTTAAACAGAAAAAAACAGAATTTTTTTTTTAAATATAGAACATTCATTAACCTCAAAACTTGACTTGAAACGAATTATAGGTAATTTTTTAAAAACTTTTCTTTAAATTACTTGACATCAGAAGTCTTCAGCTATTTTCTAACTACAAAAAATAACAGTATACAAAATAAGAAAACTTGTAACGATCTGAACATATCAAAAGCTAACTAGTTAATTTAATAAATGCTATTTCTGTTGTGTTAAAACATTCAGATTTTTTTTTTATTTCTTTTGATTAATTAAAGATGGTAAATATTCCTTCTACAATTTACCTTTATTATACCCTTTTTTTATCTTACTTTTATAACTCCTTCTTTAGAGTCGGGCCTGATCAGAGTGCCAGTCGCAGAGCTAGTAAACAGAACGTGCAAGCAATACTCATTCTACCGTATGGAGTCATAGGGACAACTCGTTATTAACTTGCTAAACCTAACTTAATGACACTTCTTTGCACATATAATAAAAGATAGCAGAGTGTTTTACATATATATTTGATTTTACTGCTATGAATGAATGTATAAATGAAGGGTAAGTTTAAACCCTAAGTTTTAAGCACTCAAACTGTAATTTTTTATCAAACGAACTTTTTATCTTACTTTTATAACTCCTCCTTCAGAGACGGCCCTGATCAGAGCGCCAGTCGCAGAGCTAGTAAAAGATCGTGCAAGCAATACTCATTCTACTGTATGGAGTCAAAGGGCCAACTCGTTATTAACTTGCTAAACCTAACTTATGGCACTTCTTTGCATATATAATAAAAGATAGCAGGGTGTTCTACATGTATATTAGATTTTACTGCTATGAATGAATGTATAAATGAAGGGTAAGTTTAAACCCTAAGTTTTAAGCACTCAAACTGTAATTTTTTATCAAACGAACTTTTTATCTTACTTTTATAACTCCTCCTTCAGAGACGGCCCTGATCAGAGCGCCAGTCGCAGAGCTAGTAAAAGATCGTGCAAGCAATACTCATTCTACTGTATGGAGTCAAAGGGCCAACTCGTTATTAACTTGCTAAACCTAACTTATGGCACTTCTTTGCATATATAATAAAAGATAGCAGGGTGTTCTACATGTATATTAGATTTTACTGCTATGAATGAATGTATAAATGAAGGGTAAGTTTAAACCCTAAGTTTTAAGCACTCAAACTGTAATTTTTTATCAAACGAACTTTTTATCTTACTTTTATAACTCCTCCTTCAGAGACGGCCCTGATCAGAGCGCCAGTCGCAGAGCTAGTAAAAGATCGTGCAAGCAATACTCATTCTACTGTATGGAGTCAAAGGGCCAACTCGTTATTAACTTGCTAAACCTAACTTATGGCACTTCTTTGCATATATAATAAAAGATAGCAGGGTGTTCTACATGTATATTAGATTTTACTGCTATGAATGAATGTATAAATGAAGGGTAAGTTTAAACCCTAAGTTTTAAGCACTCAAACTGTAATTTTTTATCAAACGAACTTTTTATCTTACTTTTATAACTCCTCCTTCAGAGACGGCCCTGATCAGAGCGCCAGTCGCAGAGCTAGTAAAAGATCGTGCAAGCAATACTCATTCTACTGTATGGAGTCAAAGGGCCAACTCGTTATTAACTTGCTAAACCTAACTTATGGCACTTCTTTGCATATATAATAAAAGATAGCAGGGTGTTCTACATGTATATTAGATTTTACTGCTATGAATGAATGTATAAATGAAGGGTAAGTTTAAACCCTAAGTTTTAAGCACTCAAACTGTAATTTTTTATCAAACGAACTTTTTATCTTACTTTTATAACTCCTCCTTCAGAGACGGCCCTGATCAGAGCGCCAGTCGCAGAGCTAGTAAAAGATCGTGCAAGCAATACTCATTCTACTGTATGGAGTCAAAGGGCCAACTCGTTATTAACTTGCTAAACCTAACTTATGGCACTTCTTTGCATATATAATAAAAGATAGCAGGGTGTTCTACATGTATATTAGATTTTACTGCTATGAATGAATGTATAAATGAAGGGTAAGTTTAAACCCTAAGTTTTAAGCACTCAAACTGTAATTTTTTATCAAACGAACTTTTTATCTTACTTTTATAACTCCTCCTTCAGAGACGGCCCTGATCAGAGCGCCAGTCGCAGAGCTAGTAAAAGATCGTGCAAGCAATACTCATTCTACTGTATGGAGTCAAAGGGCCAACTCGTTATTAACTTGCTAAACCTAACTTATGGCACTTCTTTGCATATATAATAAAAGATAGCAGGGTGTTCTACATGTATATTAGATTTTACTGCTATGAATGAATGTATAAATGAAGGGTAAGTTTAAACCCTAAGTTTTAAGCACTCAAACTGTAATTTTTTATCAAACGAACTTTTTATCTTACTTTTATAACTCCTCCTTCAGAGACGGCCCTGATCAGAGCGCCAGTCGCAGAGCTAGTAAAAGATCGTGCAAGCAATACTCATTCTACTGTATGGAGTCAAAGGGCCAACTCGTTATTAACTTGCTAAACCTAACTTATGGCACTTCTTTGCATATATAATAAAAGATAGCAGGGTGTTCTACATGTATATTAGATTTTACTGCTATGAATGAATGTATAAATGAAGGGTAAGTTTAAATCCCAAGTTTTAAGCACTAAAACTGTAATTTCTTACCAAACGAACTTCGAAGAGCCAAAATGTAGCTCGCCAAAAATGTAAACTCTTTTCATTTTTTTAATATAAAAACTATATTAAATAACATAAAAAATGAAATAAAATAAAAATATATAAATAAATAAATTTAAAAAGAAAATAGTTTTACTTCCTTGAGCCGAAATTACTGAAAATATTCCTAACACATCTCACAAATACTCATTCTAAGAGAATCGTTTCAATACAGGTAAAAGTTTCGTTATTGACTATATATGAGATATCATAATAAGACTCACTGTAATTCAGCCTCATCCATGATGCTGACAGTCTCAAGATGCTAACTTTGTCAAGAGGTTTTGAGGCATTTACAGCTGGGGGGACAAGAGTGGCCAGCTGAGCAATCTGGTCGTTGAGTCGGTCACGCCTTTGCTTCTCGGCCTGATTTCGCTGTATACGCACAGCAGCACTGAAATAAAAAAAAAAAATTCCAATTTGTACAGATTTGTAATGAATCAAAGTAATATCGAAACGAAATCTTAAATGCAAAAACAAAGAAACACCTTTGAAAAGTTGAAAGGATTTAAAATTGACAGTTTATTTCATTCTTAACTCACGTCGCAATCGTAAACCAAATCGTAAAACTAACTCTAGAGTGTAAAATTTTTTATAAGAAATATTTATGCACAGAACATATCCAAGTTTTAAGCAAAGTAAAAAAAAGTTTGAACAACTGTTACTATAAAGCATCTTTATTTAAATGTAATACAATACTAAAATTTAAAATAAAAAAGTCCAGCATTCGTTATGTATATTGGAATCCTTTTTTTCAAAAAACTATGTGCTAGGTTCTTTTCTTAAAAGAACTACTTTCTTTAAGTAAAATACTTTTTTTTTTGCTCTAGAAACTATTTCACAGCCGTAAATAGATTGCTAAAATTTCCGAAATTGGAAGCTAGTTTTAACATTCTCAGAAAATTAAACATGAAGTTTCGTACACTTTCCTTTTTTAGAGGAAAGTGTACGAAGTTTTCTTCCTAAAGTAGGATATAATTTTATTCCGAAGACATTTAACCACTTCGGGACTTAAAGTTAATCAAGCGATTCTCCCTTCCCCCTCCCTCCCTCCATATCATAGAAAAGACGATCCTTTCTGACTCCAGCGGCCCATGATCACACGGACGTAATTTCAGTTAGATATTCCCCGACATCTCGTATTAGTACATATGCTTACCTTTTAGTACGAATACGCACGGAATTTGAGAACCTGGGAAAACGTTTTTTTCTCAAGACATCTTAAGATTTATAATATGAAAAATATATATTTGATGATATGAATATATATTTAAAATATGAAAATATATATTTAAAATGAGAAAATATAAATTTGAAAATATGAAATATATATATTTGAATATTAAATATACATGAAAAATAACATTGATGTCCACGCGAGGATAAAATAAGGTTTCCGACCTAGGATAAAATAAGGTCCGGCATCTCGTAATAGTACATATGCTTACTCTTTAGTACGAATACGCACGGAATTTGAGAGCCTGGGAAAACGTTTTTTTCTCAAGGCATCTTAAGATTTATAATTTGAAAAATATATATTTGATGATATGAATATATATTTAAAATATGAAAATATATATTTAAAATTAGAAAATATAAATTTGAAAATATGAAATATATATATTTGAATATTAAATATACATGAAAAATAACATTGATGTCCACGCGAGGATAAAATAAGGTTTCCGACCTAGGATAAAATAAGGTCCGGCATCTCGTATTAGTACATATGCTTACTCTTTAGTACGAATACGCACGGAATTTGAGAACCTGGGAAAACGTTTTTTTCTCAAGGCATCTTAAGACTTATAATATGAAAAATATATATTTGATGATATGAATATATATTTAAAATATGAGAATAAATATTTAAAATGAGAAAATATAAATTTGAAAATATGAAATATATATATTTGAATATTAAATATACATGAAAAATAACATTGATGTCCACGCTAGGATAAAATAAGGTTTCGCAAACTTAAAATGAAAGTTTCATTAAAACTTGCTTTTCACTTACTTATTAGTATAATGGTTTTTGCCTGGAATTTTCTCGTCATTTTTACGCTTTTCCAAGATTTTTTTAGTTTCCATATTCTTAATGGATACCTGGAAGGAAAAAATATTTAATAAGGCGAAACAAAGAATACAGATAATAATGAGATAGAAAATTTCTTTGGATTTGATCAAATTATAATTATTAGTATAATATTCCCAGAATGAATTGAAAAAATGGCGTTGGGATACTGTATTAACTTTAATTACTTATAAAGATTGAATTTCTCTAACTTAAACACTGAAAACTTTTAAAGACTAATTTTATTTTAAAGTGATGCAGCAATGAAAATTTCAAAATCAGTAAGATACATTTTATATTTAATTTTTCTTTAGCACTTCACACTTCTCGTCAACTTGGCGATAATGTAGAAGCTACAGTATGTAAGAAATATAGTTTTGATATTTATTACAGAAATAAATTTTAGTAAAATATATACTTAATGAGCCGTTTAAATAAAAGCAAATTTTGTATGCAAACTTGCACTCACGCTTATAATTTTTTGTATCACAGTCAACTATAATATACAATTCGTATTTTTTTAAAAATATTTTAAATATAATAAAATAAGATAACGTAATATGAAAAATAGCAAAAATTTCGATTTGCTATAAAATTTATGGTAACAAAATTCATTGTGGATAATTTCGTAATTTAGTATTCACTTCAATTTTAATATGTTACGAGTACGTCAGAAAAATATCAAACAAAATTACGTATTTCTTTACTACAATTAGTCATCTTGTATGCTTGCTCTGTTAAAAACTGTTTAAAACCCAGAAAAAATTAACAACATAACCTTATTTCATATTAGATATATTTAAGTAATAATAATAGTTATATGTAGTAATAATAATAGATATACTAATAATAATAGATATACAAATAATAATAGATATACGAATAATAGATATTATATTATTATATAATGTTGTAAAATTATAAAAAAAATTTGGGAAAATAATACCCTTTTTTTGATAGAAAAAAAAATTTGTAACGTTATTATAAATAATACCTAAAAAAAACCTACGCCCCTCGGTAGCTCCCCTCCCCTTTTCTGAGGGAAATAATGGTGAAAAGAATTTAATTTCTTTTAGACCGGCAAGTAGGGCTATAGTTCCGATGCATTTTTTTGCGCTGTATTGAATGAGATCAATCCTGAGACGATCGAACTAATAGTTAAAATGTTATAAGGAATTTATGTACAAAAAGTATAAATTTGTACTTGTACCTATTCACGTATCTGATATTGCTATCTAAGCAATTAAGAAATTGTTTTATATGCAATTTTTTTTCGCTGAATCGAATGACACTATACATAAGTAAATAAAACACATAGTTTAAAAGTCGCAAGAGTTTTTATGCAAAATATCTACTTGTTTGACATTTACACACTTTACTTAACTATCTAGGGACTGCCTGAACATGTAAGGTCAAGGGCGCCGGCAGCGGGGTGCAAGGGGGTGCACTTGCACCCCCCTGGCTGTTTTTTTTAAACAATTAAAGAGATACAGAAAAATTTTGTTATAAAATTTTTTTATTAAACATATTTTTATGGAAAAACAAATAATTAAGTAATTATTGATGCATAACAATTAAAAAATTGTTTAATCAAACAAGAATTGTAATTGTTTGCTGTCCAAATCTGTTTACAACTTTTTCAATTAATTCTGAATCATCTTTGATTCTTTTCTTATGTACACTGAGCATTCACAAACTTGGCAGATATCTTTGGCAGATATCTAAGCTATATTTTTAAATTTCGTTTAATAAAATGTAAATAATATATTTTCTATTAATTATTCAGTTTAACAAAGGTGTATAACACAAACTGACTTCTCGCAACTGTAAAACTTTATCAACACAATAAATACCTATGTTAAGCGTGCACAAACACGTTAGTATACGAAACTACTGTTTGTACTTACTTGTGTTTCAAAGTTAGTAGCTATGCCAGCGCCAGCGCGATCGCCTTTGAGCAAAATTTGCAAGTACAAGAAATTCGTACTTTTTTTTAAATATCTTGCTAACAATGAAGAAATGTATCTTGAAAAAATGGACAGATGAAAGTATATGTAATAACAAAACAAAATGTAATAGCAGAATATTTTAATTTTTTTTCGGGGGGAGGGGAGGGTAGTTTGTTAGAGGGTTGCACCCCCTTTTATATTATTCTGCCGGCGCTCTTGTGTAAGGTATATCTTTCGCTTTAATTTTTCCAGCTAAAAAGGATTTATGTGTATTAAATTTCTTTATTTATTCATTTTTGAATACTTTTTGTTTAATTTTATTATTTGAAATATGTTCTATAAAGCTATTTACCGATGCTGGTGACCAAAAATTCAACTTAAGGATAATAAATATTTTTAAAACTTAAAATATTAATTAGCTACTGTATAAATAAGAAAATTACAGGCATATAAATCCCGCCGACCCTTAATTCTTTTATTCTGGTAAATTACATGCATGTTCAAAGATCAAAATAGTATTTTTTTTTAAGTAAAGGTTTAAATTTGACTTAGTAACAGTACAATGTAAATGATGAATATTTTAACATGTATGCTATAATAGTCAAGTGAAAACTGTTACCACCGTCGTTGAACAGCCAACCCAATTTTTCGGGTTGACGACTACTAATGTTCATCTCCGTAGCCTTGTAATTTTGAACCCAATCGGGAAGACAATGGAACTCCTGGATCAAGTATTAGGAGAAATTTGCCTTTGTGGGGGACTTTTTGAAGAAACTACCCCGCATTTGCGTTAGTTGGAAGAAAAATCACGAAAACCTCCCACGGTTAGCCTGACGGTAAAGGGGACTCTAACCAATGATCAGTTTACCACTGAGGATATTTTACGTCAGCACTGTGGTCGTTGCAAGCCGGATCCGGAGTTCGTATCGACCAGCTATAGCTGGGATTCGAACAGAGTTCAGCGCATTGGTAGGCGAACGCTCAATCAACTGGTCCATCATGGCTCTAAAGTGAAAATTTGAAGAAACTACCAAGTTTCATACCACGTGATATTTGGAAGACGCTTGATGGCTGCTAGAGGACAAACCGTACTAAAGTTTTGAAAGAGATACAACCGCAATTTACCACCGACTGTACCAGTCACACTATTTTTTCTTTTAAGTTCACATTTAACAAACTATTTTTTTTTCCATACTTCCTGACAAAATATATAAAAATCACATTATACAAGCTTTATTACCATGCTAGATGAATACCCGTTCTTCGCACGGAGTAAAGAAAAAAAGAATAAATCAATACTACGAAATCATGCTCAAAACTTAAAGGGATATATTTTGAATTGAAGGGCTTAGTGAACTACAAACTGGGATTAAAGTACCAAGTAAGTGACATTTTTAGGGGAATTAATAATGTATACATCTTACATTATTAATTAATGAATCAGAGAAAATATCAGAAAGTGGTAGCATCAATATGGGCACATTTAATGTAACATAACTGGTTTTTTTTTTCTTTCACTTCAAAATAAATAATCTACAATAGCTGTAAATTTGCTTGTATGATTTTTATTTCAGAGTAGTCAATGGTAAATAAAATAAGGTAAAGAATTATTAGTCCCACCTTCTAATTAATTTATAATAAAATAGTTCGAATACTCCTTTCTCTACCCTGATTATAACCTCTCAGAAAATGTCACTTATCTGGCTTTTCCACGAAGTTTTTCATTTAATAAAGCTAAAAAACTTTCAGTTCTTTATTTATTATTATTTGTTGGCCTTTTCAATAGCTTTACGTTATTAAATTAAGCAAAACTAGTTTTTTTTGTATTCCTTCCCATCAGAATAGAGATTAATTTTGTTGACAGTAATTATAATATTGTAATAGAGAGCAGCATCACTGAGCATAATACTATTGCTCGTGGTTATCTCGTAATAGTCAAAATTTAGCACTATCAAGCAAATTTTCTCTGGTATATATAGAAAAACATTTATTTCCGCAGTATCGGTATTAAAACTGATTAGTATTGGAGTAGTTTTAATATTCACCAAATATATAAATGTAATACTTTGTACCTATATTAGTATATTTCGAAAATTTTACATAGCCCTTCAACATCTGAGCTTCGTACGAAATACATTTATCAGCGGGAGCAAGCTAAAGACGAAATTTTAAAAATAAATAGAATCCTTATAAGACCATGATAAAGGCTTTGGAGCATGATCGTTTCTCTAAACACATTGTAGAATTCTTATATCAAAACTGCACCAATTACCATAATGCCAGTTGTACATATAACCAAAATTAAACGTCGTCTGCTTATGGCGGTTTTCTACGGTTCCCCGATGCGAATTTCCCATATTTTTTTATTATTTCAATTAAAACATCTTACATTATTAATTAAGCATTGGTGTCAATAATAATATGATTATTTTCTTAATTTCAATTAATACATTAATTCCAACATTAATTTAGCATCATTGTCGTCAATAATAGTACGACGATTTTTTACGGTTTCTCTAGAGGAATTAATTCTGCTATTTTGTACATAGCTTATTTTTTTAATTTAAAATTTGAATATATTACCTAAATTAATTAACCATCATTGACGTCAGTAATAGTATGGCGATTGTTTACGTTTCTCTGAAACGAATTAGTACCACATTAATTATGCATTTGAATACATAACTTATTTTTTCCCCTTTCAATTACTGTTGATTTTAAATTATTGACTTCTATAGAAACACGTTTTAAAAGAATTTCTCGAAGCAAAATAAACACACGGTATCAGATAAGTTGAGAGATATCAATTTAGTGTCGTGCTACCACGTGGTAGTATGCGTGCTGCAACGTTAATATTGCTCATTGAATTTTTTCCGATATCTATCTATACATAATAATAAACGCGGCTGTGTGTGTCTGTTTGTCTCTAATCACAATATATCGCCCCAGAAGCCTCTCCCAGGCACGAAACTCGGCACATAATTGTGTTTTGACATAATGAAGAAGTATTTTCTTTTTCTTTTTCAAAAATTTGGATTAGTTTTTTAGTTATTAGTCATTTTCTAAGAAAATCTATGCTTTTT